AAACTGGTGATTGAGACCATTGGGTCATAATGATAAAGTTTATTGAGGTAAAAGTGAGATTGGGTCCTTTACTTACGGACTTCTATACGATGGCGACGGCCATCTTCTGTGGTGGTTATGTCACATTTTTGTTCTAAACATGACCGGGGACAATGTTTAGTCAGTCACGTCATGTTAGTTTAGGTCAAATTAGACCATTGCGGCTGTTTTTAACTAAGAACTTTGGACATCAAACTGATGATCAAGTATCCATAATAGTAATGTCTTATATTCTGATTACAGTTTATATGGCAGTTTTAATGACAACATCTGTTATCCATGGACTGCAGCTCTAGCTCAGGCTTTGGCCTAACCTTTCCCTGATAACTGTATTATTTAATTAATCAGCCACAGAAAACTAAATACTTGCTTTGTGTGGAGTCTGGCAGAAGTCAAGACAGGAGCAGACAAAGTGAAAGAAGCACTTGAATGGAGACAGAGAACGACCTACGAGGAATAAAAGGGAGACTAAGGAGATGATGGCAGAAGAGAAGCATATTTAAACAGCTTTGCTTGACTAGACAGGGGAAATGTCTCCGTGTGAATTAATAGCTGTTTGGTTGGTAGGATTCTCCCACACTGACTGACTGTTACATTTGCATGGATGCCGTGTATATTTTGGAGTCTTTGCACAGATGCGTGACTTCTGCTTGTGTTTGTGGCTTCATTTGTTTATTTATTTCCACTCGTCTTTGTCTCTCAGCTAAAGGGCCTCCAATGTTATTTCCTCCTAATAGAGATGTCGAGGCCTTTTTCCTTCCAGACTTGTCACTTGTAGAAACTTTATGCAACCAATTCTTTATCAATTTACACTTCAAAGAGGTGTGTAAGCACCAAGAGCTACTTTGAGAGAAACTGGATTAAGTTCAAATCCCTAGAAGCTGCTTTCTCGCTGCTCGTATCTTGACCTGTCTAATACTTATCCCTCCTGTTAATTATACTACTGTAAAAAAAAAAAAAAAGTCTTGGAGCTGTATGGAAGTGCATCAGCACATTTTATGGGTTTTGTTTTTTGTATATAATCCCACACATATCTCAGATGTGAGACTTTCGTTGGATTTTTTTTTTTTAATTCTTGGGTCGTAATCCCTGAGCTGCCATTTTTAACACTGTGATAGTAAAAGAATGTACCGGGATGATGTCTCCAGGTGACAGATCTTTACCTTGATGATGTGGATGTTGGTGTGTTGGCACCAGAACAACTACCAGCACAGATTATATCTACTACGGTCTTGGAGCTCTTTAGTTTATATGAATATGGACTCTCTTGGCTTTAACTTAGCCACAACATGCAGCACCACATTTAACCAATAATAAAACTGATTACAGAGGTGCTATTTTTTCCTTTGTGCTATGATGATGAAGCTTACTTGAACTGACTTGACTTTACAGGAAGTACAAAGCGTAGTTTGTATTCAGTGGGACCAGCTGATGGTGAGATGAAAGTCCTTATCGAGATTTAAAAAAAAATTATCTTTACCTTATAATTACAAATAGCTATTGACTGTCTATAGGAACCAAGTTAATCTGACAAAGCCATTATTTCATTTCATTTATCACACTGTTTAATTAAGGTCACATTAATGGAATCTAATGAAGAATCTCCCAAAGATGATGAATACATTTAACTAATAAACTCTGAAAGCAGCAGGTGGGCATTGAGTCAGTCTTTTCAAGCTGTCAATTAATTACTTAATATCTCCGCTGACAAAATCATCCACCAGGCACTGCTGCAAACGCATACCTGGACTTACTTCATGAAACTTTAGCCTTAACTACCAGGTCTCCTATCTTAATTAGGGTCCGAGGACCCCTACTTGTTTAGTAAAATGGTTGGATACAGCCAACAGTAAGTTCCACTGGTCACAGTTCAGGTTAATTGACTTCTACTTGTTGTTTTCTTGACTAAAACATTTTTCATCAGATCGGTAAAGATGTCATGCGGCCCTCTCCTTCAAAACATTGTTTTACACGTGTAAAGACAGAAATGTAAAGTGAAACAACAACAATAAAACCTGGACACCATCATACGTTTACAGTTACAGTCGCACTCTTCATCGACAGTTTGACCCTGACATACAACCACGAGAGTGTTGGAGACAAGAATGAGGGTGAAAACTGCTCTTTCTTCTCAGAGCAGTAGCTGCACACCCACCTCTCATCAACAGTGATGGTCCTCAACATAAAGGTTTGACATAAAGGACTGACATGGCATGTGATTTTTGCAGTTTCCAGTCTGAAGTCACATGCTGAAATCATCTAGCGTTGCTCATAAAGACAAGTGTAGCACAAGTCTAGCAGTAGATTTTACACAGTTTTCTCACTCTTTGTAGTGTCTGCTTCCACATGTTGCTTGCTGTGCTCCATGCATGTGCAGCCTCAGAACTTTTCCTTCACACAATGTAATATTAAGACGACACGGTTTGTGAATAGTGCATGTATTATAGATGTACAGCGTGTCTCCTGTGGCTGTGATTTGCGCTGTGTCGCAGCGGTCCGACCCATAAGCCTGTAGTCCCTCCACCACCTTGACATCTCTGCAGCTCATCTCGCTGATTACGCCGTCTTCTCATTAAAACCGTCTTAATCAGTGAAATCAGCTGCCTCGGTGACTGATTGCAGTGACTCTCTGGCCATAAGCACGAGCACTTTTCTACATTAGGTATGTGTGGAACGCGACCACTTCATATTCCTCAGTCTTTATGTAATGCTCTTAACCTTTATACGTGTTTGTGTGTCCTTAGCGGTGGGTTAGAAACTGTACAGAATAAGGCCGTCTATATCACTGTCACTTAAACACCTTTACAACGGTATATCAAA